GCGGTTTGGTCTTGCGGCGCGGGGGGGGGGGGGGCCCTGCCATGACGTGAGCACAGGAAGCTCCTGCAAAACCCGTCCAGGGTGGCAGCTCCTTTACAAAAGCTTAAAACCAGGCCAGATTAGGGCAGTTTTCCACAGGGTTGACCAAAGAGGGTTCCCTGCACCATTCCGTGCCCCTGCTGCGAGCGTGGGGACATTGACGCCTTCCAGGGCAGAGGGTCCCAGTGCTCTGGCCGAGCGTGGTGACAGTGACAGGGGAAGCAGCTCTCATGGCCAGGCAGCAATCGCAGTGCTGCAAAACATCAGAAACAGGATCTTGGGCCGAGACAGTCCCGAGGGAGCCTCCATCCTGCCCGGAGCCCTCCCTGCCTCCCTGGAGCCTCTCAGACCACGCTGATGGTGGGAATAGCCTCTCTCAAGCCTCCACGTGTGGGACCCGGTGGGAGTTGGAGAGTGCAGAGAAAATCACCACGAGCAATGGGGCTGCTGATTTACCCGGCACTTAAATGTCTCTATTCGCTGCTGCCATCACCGAAGGACAGCAGCATGGCTTGGAGACAAAGCCCTTCCCCATCCCATGTCTTGCTGCTGCCCTCCCACGAGCGGGACAGGACCACGCACTGGTGTCTGCAGCCCCCCGTGCGTGGGTGATGCTGGAGCTAGGACTGGTCCAGGGGGTCCTTGGGGGACGCAACGGGTCCCCCTTCCCTCTCTCAGCCATCCCCATTGTGTCCGCTGGCAGGATGAGCGCACCGAGCAGCGATGCGGGCAACCCAGCCCACACACTCTTCGAGCGGTTCCTGCGCGCTGGGCAGTGCCAGGAGGTGCTGGGCACATTCGGGGAGCTGCGTGGGCACCTGGGGCTGCAGGGCACCACGGGGCTGCAGCTCTACCGGGAGCTCAAGGCCGCCCTCAACTCGTGGAGTGCCAAGGCGCTGTGGAACAAGCTGGACAAGAAAGCTGCCCACGGGGACTACGAGCAGGGCACGGCCTGCGCCAGCACCAAGGTACCCGTGGGGTTTGGATGCCACCATGTGCCATCCGCAGCCGGAGCATCCGCTGGGAGCCCAGCACGAGGCCCTTTCTCCCAGAGTGCCCATGGGGTGGGGGGAGATCCCGTGGGACACGGGGACCCTATTTGCATGTTCCCAGGCTGGCTGTCCCCCCACCGGTGTCCCTGTCCCGTCCTGCCCGTCGCAGGCGCTGGCGGGAGGCCAAGCTCCGGCGCGGTTTTGCCAGGGAAAAGCTCCCTGCTCTGCAGCTGCCGCAAGCGGAAACGAGCTCCCTTATCTCACCCAGCCTTTGACTGCCGCTCTTGCACCAGTGCAAGGTTCAGGAAACCAGCGTGGTGGCGAGGAGACCCACCAGATCCCCCCCCGGGGCTCCCTGCAGTGATTGCTATCCCAGGGAAGGGGAGGGAACGCGGCAGCATGGATCCTGAGCCGGGATGGGGAGATGCTGCATTGGTGCTGGCATCCCTGGGGATCCGTCCCCATCCCGCTGCAGCACGTCCCCAATGCGGCGCCCCTGTCCCCTGCGCAGTGCCTGGTGGTGGGGGCTGGTCCCTGCGGGCTGCGCACGGCCATCGAGCTGGCGCTGCTGGGCGCCCGCGTGGTGCTGCTGGAGAAGAGAGGCTCCTTCTCCCGCAACAACGTCCTGCACCTCTGGCCCTTCACCATCCACGACCTGCGGGCGCTGGGCGCCAAGAAGTTCTACGGGCGCTTCTGCACCGGCACCCTGGACCACATCAGTGAGTGGCAGCAGGGACCCGCTCAGCACCCCCTTGGGACACCCCAGAACCCCACCAGCGGGTGCATGGGGACATGGTGGGGCTGCCACCCCTCTGTGCGCTCTCTCCCTCTCCAGGTATCCGGCAGCTCCAGCCGCTT